CTGCTCAACAGATGTTTCCTGCTGCTGCCCAAGCCATGGGCACCAACACTGCAGGTGTCCAGCCCTCTCAGAGTCCCACAAAGCTTCTTGTGAAGTAACGTACATCACAGTCTACACGTGCACACATACATTACTGCATTTAATTCTCGCTATAACCCCACAAGGTAGTTATGATCCTCCCTTCTTTGTGAGCAAGAAACAGGCTCAGAAAGGTGACCCATCTCTCACAAGGCACACACACAGTCAACAGCAAAGCTGGGGTTCCAGTCTATGACTGTCACTTCCAGAAAGGACATGCGCTTTCCCTGACAGCTGCATGCTCCACACAGCAGCCACCCTGGGACACTGGCATGATGCTTGCCACATCCTAGGTGCCACCTGTACAATTACTTGCTTCATCTTTTTCTTTAAATTACCACTTTTAATTTGATCTTGACCTAAAGAAATAATGTTAATGATATAATCCAGATCCTCATGAAAAGAAATATGAAAATCGTTAGGCCAGGCGTGGTGGCTCACACCTGTAATTGCAGCATTTTGGGAGGCCGAGGCGGGTAGATCACTTGAGGTCAGGAGTTCGAGACTAGCCTGGCCAATATGGTGAAACCCTGTCTCTACCAAAAATACAAAAATTAGCTGGGTGTGGTAATCCCAGCTACTTGAGAAGCTGAGACAAAAGAATTGCTTGAACCCAGGAGGCGGAGATTGCAGTGAGCTGCGATCACACCACTGCGCTCCAGCCTGGGTGAGAGAGGGAGACTCCATCTCAAAAAAAGAAACATAAAAGTCTTTAAATGACTTTTACAGGCGCGATGGCTCACGCCTGTAATCCCAGCACTTTGGGAGGCTGAGGCAGGTGGATCACGAGGTCAGGAGATCGAGACTGTCTGACTAACACAGTGAAATCCCATCTCTACTAAAAAATACAAAAAAAAATTAGCCTGGCATGGTGGCAGGCACCTGTAGTCTCAGCTACTCAGGAGGCTGAGACAGGAGAATGGTGTGAACCTGGGAGGCGGAGCTTGCAGTGAGCTGAGACTGCGCCACTGCACTCCAGCCTGGGCAACAGAGCAAGACTCCGTCTTAAAAAAAAAAAAAAAAAGTATTTAAATCACAGGCTGCCTTCTCTCCTCTTGCACGTATGTACAGGGTGCACTTTGAGAACCCTGGCTGTGGGCTCAAGCCTCCCGAGGGGCCCATGTCTTGCCTGGAGCTCCTCTTCTCCACACCTCTCCAAGCAGGCTGAGTTCTGTCCCAGGAGACCCCACAGCCCCTCCCAGTACAGTCTCAGCTGCCCTAACAATTTGTGGACTCCTCAAGGGCAGGGAGTGGGTCTTCTTCTGCGTGGCAGGGCAGAAGTCCCAGCGTGGGCCTTATTGTGCCCCAACTTAACTATGGCCCAAGCCCTGGCTGGCCTGTATGTTCTGGAGGCCTCAGGAGGGTCCTGAATCAACAGGGAGGGAAAAGGCCACTGTGATCAGGGCAGTCGGGAAAAGCTGCCAGAATTGGAAGCTGGCAGAGTGGGGTTGTAAAACCAAAGGGAATTGGGCTGGTGTGGATAGGATAAAAACATCTCAGGGGTGCAAGTAAGCATCAACATCTGGAGAACAGAACAGGAAAGGAGCCCCCCAAATTTCCCACAACACTGTGAGTGCCAGGCATCCAGGGTGATTGATTTCTTACCATTACGTCCTGTGCTGAATCAAGTACTCAATACTCTATTAACTGTATGACGGCCTCTCTCCGGTCTCCTCTTATGAGAACACTGCTATGGTTGGGCTCTGTGTCCCCACCCAAATCTCATCTTGAATTGTAATAATTCCATGTCACGGGAGGGGCCCAGTGGGAGGTAACTGAATCATGAGGGTGTCTTTTTCTCTGCTGTTCTCATGATAGTGAATAAATCTCACAAGATCTGATGGTTTTATAAAGGGCAGTTTCCTGCACGTGCTCTCTTGCCTGGCACCATGTAAGATGTGCCTTTGCCCCTTCTTCATCTTCCACCATGATTGTGAGGCCTCCCCAGCCATGTGGAACTGTAAGTCCATTCAATCTCTTTCCTTTGTAAATTACCAGTCTCGGCAGTGTGAGAACAGACTAATACAGACACTACTCCCATCACAAGGCCCCCACCTCCATGAGCTCATTTCATTATCTCCCAAAGACCCCATCTCCACACACCATCACATTGGGGGTTAGGCTTCAACCTATGAACTTGGGGAAAACATGATGCAGCCCATAGTGCCTACCATGGCTAAGCTGGTCCAGTGCACTCCCTCCTGTCCTTCTACCCTCTCCACAGCCAGGCCCATTGCTTTCATTTTACAAAGGGCAGCTTAGAAAGGCTAATGACTTGCTGGAAGCTGCACAGCTGGAACCAAGCAGTGCAGGGATTTGCTCAGGGCTGGCCGGCTCCATCACCCTCTAGCTTGGTCCCCCTCTCGCATGCTGCCTCCCTGAGATGCTCTCCTCCCTGCTGCCCTGGAAAGGGTGAGATCTGGCGGGAAGACATGGATGTTGCCCTGCCCAACTCTCAGCAAATGCCTGTGGATACTGAAGTCCTTTCCTGGCCCCGCCAGGCTCTTGGGGAACCAGGCAGGCAGCGCGGCAGTGCCTCTGTGAGCAGAAAAGGTGTATTTGAGGGAGCTTTTAGTAAACAGGGGAGAGAAAGTGGATCTGCCTGCAGTAGCTGCAGCTGCTGGCCTCGTGGTGCGACTTACACAAAGATGACTTCAAAAGGCAGAGGCCATCAATCTTTAATGCTTTCACTGCACTGGGGCGGAGGACTCTGGACCCCTGCATGGGGCACAAACCTGCCCCCCACCGAGGGAAAGAGCAGCAGAAGTTCCTGGTTGCTGTCCTCGCCGAGACCTGGCATCTTTGAAGGGCCTGCAATATCATCATGGCTGGTGCTGGGTGCACCCTGTGGGCTGGGCCCTTTCAGGGTGCTTTCCAAGGCCGTCAGAGGCTCTTGGCACCAAAGAGCTTAGGGCACCCACACCCACCACACCAGGAAATTCAAAAGACACTTTTATTCTTCCAGCGACACTGTATTTACTTGTAGTGCTAAAATTAAATAGCTTCTTTCTAGATATTCTGTCTTAAAACACTGGAACCCTATTCTGGCTCCCCAGCGACTGCTTTGCTTTGTGCCTGGCACTCAGTAGGTCTGCTCAAGCTGTCCAGCACCCCCTGAGATCCCCAGGTGCCAGGATCCTGAAGCTGGGTCCCCACAAGCAACAAGAGAGGGCTCAGAGGCTGCGGCCATGTCCCAGGTTCCGGGAGTTCCCCATGGAGACGGTCCACCCACCTGGTGACAGGCAGTTTCTCCGCGAGCTGAAGCAGGGGCGGCGGCATATGTCAACAATCAGTCAGTGATCAGTCAGTTGTGATGGATTAGCACCCACTGGGAACACAGAGGTGGGGGGACAGGGAGGAAGGGAAGCAGAGATGAGAACAGTGGGGAGAGAAGCTCTCGGGAGATTGTAATATGGATGAGAGACTGACTTTAAAAATATGAACGTTTGGATGGAACTGCAATAAGCACGAGCCTGTGGCTGGAGACACGAGGGTTCAGCTCAGCCTCAGGGCTGTTCACCAGGTGGTCCTGGTTTGTCATGTCTCCTCTCTGGGCTGCAGATTCCTAATCTGTCACCATAGATCTTCAAGCTTCTTCCCAGTTCTAACCATTGGTTAAGACTTTGGGCTCTGGGTCCTGAAACCTGGCTTCCTCATTTTCCCACTGTGTGACCTTAGACAAGTGACTTCACGTCTCTGAGTGTCCATGTCCTTGTCTGTGAAATGGCAGTAACAGTTGTGTTACTGTGAAATGGCAAAAACAGCCACAGTCCCCTTGTGGATTTGGTGTGAAGAGTAACTGCGATGATGGATGAAGGCTTAGCAGAGTGCCTGGTAGGTAGTAAGCACTCACTGAAGATGAGCCACTGCTCCTATTATCATCATCATGAACTTTCTCTGATTCCAAGGCTGGAGGCTGAAATGTTTCTGTCCACATGGGCAGAGTCTCTGTAAATCGTGTCAATCTGAGGCAAGAATTTTGAAGTTCAAGGCCCCACCCAGCTCAGGAGGCTATTCCTGATCATGCATCAGCCTCTCGGCTACACCCAAAAAGGGCCACCCAGTGAGCTGAGAAGGGAGAGATGGCACAACCCAGGAGAGACGTAGAGGCCGCAGCCTCGGGAACAGGCCTGGGGGCCAGGCAGGTGCACAGGACCCTCGGAGGGTGGTCGATCCCAGGCTTTCTGTGTTCTCTGCCGTATCCGCACACCCATGAGCTCCTGATGATCCCCTATAAATCAACCTATTCTTTCTTTTTCACTCACACACATATTTTGCAAATTAAAATGTAACTGGAAAATCGTTATCACCTGCTGTTAGTAGAAGGCAAAACCAAACACAGTGCCCTGAAAACAGAACAACCAAGTCCAGCAGGATTCCTCGTCCTCTTCAGGCCGTTCTCGCTTTGTTTCAGAGGACACTTTGCGGGCAGTAATGACACTGACCTCGAACGGAGCTCTGCTCTGGACCCAGTTTTGGGGATGGAAAGAGAATTGAAAAGGAAGAAATGTTCTCGTGGAGGGATCAGAGTTGGGTAAGGCCAGGCCTGGGAACCACCTAAAATCTTCCTATGGTTTGGGGGATGCTGTGGGGTTTGTGGCTAAAACGCTTGCCTGAGAGGTGGACTCCACAGGCCCCGGACGGGGTCCCTGGGATGTCCCTAGACAGAATCCTAGGCCCCCCAGATTCCAGGATGAGAACCTACTCACTGCCCCGCCGGTAGTAGGCTTACCCTGTGGGAACCCGGGACGGCCGTGCAGCCTGCAGCTCCTGGTCTCCTCCCCTGGCCTGGGGTGCCCTTTCCCATCAGCCCAGAGCAGACAGATCCCCACCCCTGGGGCCCTGCTGCCCACCCCTCGCCCCCTCCCAACTCAGGCACCCTGAGCTGCTACTCCATAGAGGCCTCAATCCACCATCCAGAGCCTTCTCTCCTTACCCCGCCCCCCACCGGGGTATTTCTGGCTCCCAGAGGGGCAGACAGCCCTGAAACCTGAGCAGAAGCCATCCCCGGTGCCACGCCTGGAGAGGGGCATTAATAGCAGCCTTCCTCAGGCCCCTGACACGTCTGGGCAGCTGCTCAGCACGTCCCGCGTCCCTCAGCCCCAAGGCCAGCCCACTCTGGCTCAGCCAGGCACACTAAACTTAGTGGCCACTCCCAACTCGACAACCACCGCCACCCCCCAACTCGGCTGTCACCTGCCCGAGGAGACGCAGCCGCCGGACCCTGCCCAGGGCACCTACGCCTCGGCGACCACCATGTCCCAGACCAAAACGCTGAAGGTCCGCGTGACCCTCTTCTGCATCCTGGCAGGCATCGTGCTGGCCATGACGGCCGTGGTAACCGACCACTGGGCTGTGCTGAGCCCCCACATGGAGCACCACAACACCACCTGCGAGGCGGCCCACTTCGGCCTCTGGCGGATTTGTACCAAGCGCATCCCCATGGACGACAGCAAGACCTGCGGGCCCATCACCCTGCCCGGGGGTAACGTACCCACCCTCCGTCCCGATCCCCACCTCCCGCCCTTCCCCGTCGTCCCCTGGACAAATTTGCCCATGCCAAGGAAGGCAGGTTTCTCAGGCTAGAGATAGGGCAGCCGCCCAGCCCTTTCTGCCCAGGGAAGAAGATCTGAATTGCATGTGCTGTGCTGGTGGCTGGGGCTGGGTTGTAAGACGAGGGCGTTTGTCCCAGCTATTTCTGTCTGGCTGGACCTTGGGGCTTTTCACCCAGAACAGAGAGCTGGGCAGGCTCAAGACAGGAACCACAGCTCTACCAGCCCAGGGACTTCTGGGCTCCATCTGGTCACTCTCTCCCTGCAAAGACATGCTGGGTGGCTCTGTGTCCTCAGGCTGGGGGAAACCATGGAGCTGGCAGGTTTGTCCCTGGCCTCAAGGCAGGGGAGGAGAGAGGACAGGCGATGGAATATGCAGGGTCCTGTGCAAAATGAAAATGCAGGGTTCCTTGCTCCAAATTACCAAGGATTTCAAGGCAGCGATAGCAGCACATGAATCCAAGCATGGACCCTTGTGGGCCCTGGGCCTGGAGAAGCTGCACAGGTTGAATGCCTGTGAAGCAGGACGTGGCTGTGGGTGAGCCACCTGCCCCTACCTTTTTTTTTTTTTTTTGAGACAGAGTTTTGCTCTGTCGCCCAGGCTGGAATGCAGTGGTACAATCTTGGCTCACTGCAACTTCCGCCTCCTGGACTCAATTGATTCTCCTGCCTTGGCTTCCCCAGTAGCTGGGATTACAGGCATGCGCCACCACACCCATCTAATTTTTGTACTTTCAGTACAGACGGGGTTTTGCCATGTTGACCAGGCTGGTCTTGAACCCCTGACCTCAGGTGATCCACCTGCCTTGGCCTCCCGAAGTGCTGGGATTACAGGCGTGAGCCACCGTGCCTGGCCTCCACTCGCCCTTTTGTCAGGATGTCAGTCCATTATGCATCCTCCCTTAGCTCAGACCCTGTCAGAGTTACAAAGCATTTCCTCACCCTGTAATTTAAGCGTATTCCTCGATTTCCTACCATGTGACCGAACCACATGTCGAAGGTAAGCTCCTTTTCAGGAGTACCTGGTAGTTGCATGACTAGCCTCTATTCTGCAAATGCCGAGGCTTCTGGATTCTTAGCAAATACAGCACTTCAGAGGAAAGGGTGCTATGTGGAGACCAGGCGGCCAGGGATCTAGTCACCATTGCCCATTACCCTCAAATGACCATCCAGCGAGGACAAAGATCATCTCAGCCTCTGCTTCTTCCTCTATAAAATATGGGACTGACTCTCAGCAATGTAAGATTCCTTCCCAGGTTTACAGACGCCCATCCACGGTGGCAGTGGAGCAGGGTTATGTCAGTGTGATGTCCCACCTGGTTTTCAGGATGATTCCCTCTTTTACCAGACTTTGGTGTTCCTTGAAACCTGCCCTTCAAGGACACTAGGGCTGAGTCCCCAAAGATCTTGCAGTCTGCATGTGAACCAAAGAGCCAACACCCCATCCTCCCATATCTCTGCTCCCTCTTCCTTCCCTGCTGCTTGCTCCAGAGATCCCCTCCCTCATTCACGCCCACTGGACGCCCAGAAGACTCGTAAGTGCCCAACTGTTATAGAAACACCGAGTCCCAGGGCTGAGGGTGACAGGTGTGGCCATGTGCTTGCAGGGTATCGCATAGCCCGGATGCCCATGCCCCTTGGTGACTGCCGAGCACACCCATAAACAGGCAATCCCTCCAGCCAACTCCCCTGGGCAGGGCAGGGCAGGGCAGGGCAGCTTCTTCAGGGACCGCGCATAGGGACGTGCTGTTACAGTCCTGTTCACCCGTCCTTGGAACCATCTGCCTTTTAAAGTCAGAGCAGAGGACTGGGCAGTGAGCAGAGTCCACACAAGGAAGAGACAGGCTGGTGAGAGGTGACTGGACCAATTACAGGGGACCAACAGGCATTGCTTGGCCTTGAGCCTGACCAGGATCTACCTCTTTGCCTTCTTAGCCTAACCAGCTATGAACCATACTTCCCACACTTGTGACACTGAGCACTACCTTCCCCCAGTCATCTTCCAAAGTATGTTCCTGCCTTTTTCCCTCTCTTTTCTCTGCAAATGGACATCTTTCTCCTTCCCCATATGCCCTTCTTGTGCCCCCTGGGACCACTCTTGTCTGGAGGGAGGAAGCGGGTTCATATGTGGCCTCTCATTTATTATTAACAACAACAACAATAATAATGGCACATACATGTAACCCTATGTGCCGAATATTGTTGTAAATGCTTTACATGTATCAACTTTGAATGACATCACGAAAAAGATGATAGAGAAAAAGAACTTCCAAAAATCTTCTTCTCCATAAAAGCAATGAGAAGGCTGGTGGAAATGGTCAGAATCAACATTTTCAGAACTCTGGAAATTAACCAAAGTCCAGCAAGAAAAATGGGTGAATCTCAGGAGGACCAGTGAGTTCTGTGGTGTTTTAACTTGACTTATTCCTGATTCCCTTTCCCAGCTCTGTGGTAACCTCGCAAACCAACGTTCATAATGACAGTGAAAATCAGCATCCCAGTAGCCTCTGGAGGGGAGAGAATGGGGTTGGATCAAAGGCCCATTCCCAGAGCATTGTCATGATTTGACCTGTCTGGTGATTCCCTGAAAAGCCCCACTTGAGAAGCTGTTTCTGTTTGACCTGACTCTGAGCTCATCCGGTGCAAAGAGTCTTTCTCCCTGGGGACATTTGTGGAACATAATTAGAGATGATTACTTAACATCATGGCTGTCTGAGGCAGTAGATAACAGTTGGGAAAACAACAGGCTAACCAAAAAACTGGAGACTGAGATGTCCATAGGTTGCTTTGAAAAGCTCCAACAAATTCCTGGGAATCTAGGAGGTCACACGCATGCACAAGGCTATGTGCACACTCAAGAAAGACCTAAGAAGGCCCTAAGCACTCTCTGCCTTATCTTAAGGCTCTGTTCAAGCAGAAAGTGAAAGCTAAGGCAGAGGTGTGGGTGGCTTACCTGAGTGTGAGTCATATGCACAGAGCCCCTCAGTAAAGACTGGGGGAGTCATTGTTGCCAAGCATTTTAGGAAATTTCTAATTGGTCACTAAGCTAATTGAACAGGGATTTCAGTGGTCACACATGACAAAAAACAGACTTTACCATCTGAGTTCAAAAAGTCACTAAACAAACAATAGGAACAAATCCTCAAGAAGGGGGAACAACTGATTTCCAGAGTTGCCACATTATATTGTTTAAAAAATACTGGCTGGGTGTGGTGGCTCACTCCTGTGTTCCCAGCACTTTTGGAGGCCAAGTAAGAGGATTGCTTGAGGCCAGAGGTTTGAGATCAAACTGGGCAATATAGCGAGACCCTGTCCCTACAAACAAACCAACCAACCCCACAAAATAGCCAAGAGTGGTGGCATGTGCCTATAATTCTAGCTACTCCTGAGGCTTAGGTGAGGGAATTGTTTGATTCCAGGAGTTAGAGACTACAGTGAACTATGATCACACCACTGCACTCCAGCCTGGGACAGCGAGACTGTCTCTAAATAAATAAATACATACATAAACACAAGACATGCAAAGAACTAAAATGATATGGGGCATATATGGGGCAGGGAGAGCTCGATAGATCCCTAAGGAAGCCAGATATTGGACTTACTAGACAAAAACTTTAAATTGGCTATAGTAAGTATATCCAAAGAACTTTTTTTAAAAATCAAAAGCATTAAAGATGAAAATGATGTCTCATGAAATAGAAACTATCAAGAAAGAGACAGAAATTATTTTTAAGGACAAAATGGAAATTCTAGAGTTGAAAAGTACGATAACTAAAATGAGAAATTCACTAGAGGGGCTCAATAGCATATCTGAGCAGGTAAAAGAATCAGTGACCTTTAAGATAAGTCATTTGAGATTAGTTAGTCTGAGGAACAGATAGAAAAAAAAAGAAAGAAAAATGACAAGAGCCTCAGAGACTTATGGGACACCATCAAGTGTATGTAAAGGAAGTCCCAGAAGGAGAGGGAAAGGGAGAAAGGAACAAAAAAGGTATATGAAAAATAATGTCCAAAAGCTTCCCAAATTGGATGAAAAACATTAAAAATCTACAAATTTGTAAAGCTCAATGAACTCCAGGTAGAATAAACTCTAAGGGATCCACACCTAGACACACGATAATCAAACTGTTGAAAGAGACAGAGGATCTTAAAAACAGAAAGAAGCAATTCATCACATACGAGGAATCCTTAGTAAGATGAACGGCCAATTTTTCCCCAAATCAATGGAGTCCAGAAGGTGGTGGGATGACATACATATGTTAGCTCACCTAATCCTCACAAAAACCTCCATGAAGGCCATGCTATTATCATCATTCCAATCTTACGGATAAAGAAAATGAACCACTGAGAGGTTGAGATAGTTGACAAGGTAATACAGGTGATGAGCAGAGCAGCCAGGACTCATACTCAGATGATTACCCCTAACATTCACCTTTTTAGTCAATAAATTAACTACTTTACAACAACCCAGTGAGTAGATTCTTATTCTACAGGTGGATCCTATTCTACAGGTGGTTCTTATTCTACAGGTGGTTCTCATTCTACAGGTAGGAACATGGAGGCTGAGCATAGCCTTCCCCAGGCTAACTAGCTAACAAATAGAGGTTCTCCACCCAAGTCTTGAATCCAGAGCCTCCTTTCTCTCCAGTTCCTTCCCACACCCTCTATTGTGCATGTAAACACAGCTCCTAAAAGTTCTGACCCAAGTGAACACAAGGAGTCCAGCTTTTGACATGGCATAGTTTGAGGGTAGCCAGACCAGAAGCTGGTGCAGTGGAGGAGACTTCTCATGGTCCCATTTAGTCTTAGAATGTTGGAGGCTCAGTGGGCAAGAGTTGTCTAATTTTTCTACTGTCCCCCACAAGAGTTGTCTAATTTTTCTACTGTCCCCCAAAGAGTCTTAGGAGGACTTCCATGTACAACATCTAAGACCAATTCCAATGCCTCCAGAATGAGAGCAGGGGCCTCTCCCATAGGAGAGACTATGTGTTCTGAAAGTCCAAATGAACCCCACAGAGAGGCCATCCCCTGCCCTTGGGCTGGGTGAAGTGTTGCTTCTTTCAGGCTCTGCCTCTTTAGGGCAAGGAGGCAGGCTGCCCCAGGGCCCACTTTGCCTAGTGCCCCACTTTCCCTACTGGTCCATCTTCTCTCAGTGCAGGAATTGGGACTGGATGAAAGAGCATGATACTACTGACCCCAGGAATTGCATGGGCTCCCCTCACCACTCACAGGAGTCCATGCCAGAGGCCTAGGCCAAAGCCAGGCTTCTCCCACGGAAGAGTAGTGCTCTGGAGCTCCAGGGTCAGGTCTTGGAGATTTCTCCAGCCCATTTTATAAAATTCTTCAATCAGAGGTGTGGGAGGAGACACAGCCCGGAAAACCACTGTCAGGAGCTGATAGAACTTCTTTTACCAAAAGGCTAAACACAACACTGGCATCAATGCAAGTTAGAGGCTTTCTTGCATCCCTAAAGTACCAGTTTCTTTGGTTTTGGACAAATCCACAAATTATCTTTGAATATATGAAAGTCTCCGTGGACTGTCACTTGGTACACTGATACATTCTCAGTGATAACCCAAGGCATCCCCTCATGCTACCAGCTCCTCCAATGATCAAAGAAAGATCCCTATTAACTCCAGCTCAGCTCGGAGCTAAATGTGGCTTCTGCTCTAATTCTTCGAAACTGGCACACTAGACATGGTTCTGCACGGTGACTAATGCCCTTAACCAGAACACTTGTTTAGCCAGACTGTTCCATCCCCCAGTCAAGTCTGAGGGCTGAGTTCGCCACAGTTTTAATAAATACCCCATTTAATATTTTTAAACCACTGAGTCTTACAGAAATAAGGAGATTAAAATCAGCATAAGCTATTTGCAGAGACAAAGGAGAATGGCACAACCTCAGAGTTCCTAACACCCCAGATCATCATCCTGGCATTGGAATCTTTGCTGACTTAGTCGGAAGCAAAGCTGCAATCCCTGAGCTTTGTGTAAGTATGATGGAAGCCAGGGCAGTGGGACAGAGAGGGACATCCCAGAGGCACAGGCAGGAAGGCTCAGAGTCTGCACAGGACCGTCACCGTCCCTCTCCTCTTGCCCCATGACTAAGACGGGTCCCCCTCAGATGTCCTTCCTCTTTACGTTGCCCTGGATGCTCAGTTTCCCAAATAATATCCACCTGGACCCAGGGACAGGGCAGGGAGGGAAGGGGCTTGTAGTAGGGTCTGTCCATCTGAACAGGACCCTCACCCTCTTGAGTGACATGGGCAGATGCCTGGCCTGATTTATCCTGAATGGGGCCTGGGTCTGACGTGCCCCCACCCCTACAGGGGCCATCAGGGACCATGAAAGGGTTTATGGTCTCCAGTGGGCAGCCACATAGCCCAGGAGTGGATGTTTCTCCCAGGTTCAGGGCAGGAGACACTGGCCTTTTTCATGTGCTAAGCCCAAGAGAGGGGACAGGTCGGCCCATCCGTCCTCAGGCCCCTAGTTCAGCCATGTAAGAGTGAAGCTGAGGCTTCCTGATGCCCCGAGAAGGAATCCTAGCCACTGGAGGCCCCCTCCCTCCATTTGAGGACACTTAATGGAGAAGAGGGAGGGGGAACATTGTCCCTGCACCACCAAAAGAAAAGCAATCCCCCCAAAAGCTCACAACCTGGCTCCTGCAGACATGTAGGCTACCCCTGTGTCTGAGTTAAGATCATTTCTATCCAAGCAGCCAGCAGCCACACAGAGCCTGGCGTTTATCTGGTGGGGGTTTGGCGAGCCAAATGCTACCTGTGCGGGAGTCACCTCAGCAACCCACCGGGTGCAAACAGCCGTGCTCCAGCAAAGCACTCCGTGGCCCTCATCTCAGGGTCCTCCGCTGGGAAGGATTTTAACTGACGGCTTTCGAGCAGTCAGGGAGGCAGCTGACGGTGAAATACACTTGAATTCAGTCAATTCTGACAACTGAAATTGGTTCTTAAAGAATACAACGGAAACAGAAATGTTTCTTTGTCCAGAGGGAGACACATGGAGACTTACGACATAGCATGGGCCATTTCGAAGCAGTGATTCAAGAGATCTATAGCTAATAATCTAACAAATAGAAGAGGTCTGCATTATGCTTTAAAATAGCACCGGACGCCGAGAGAGAATAGCAGAGCACCAATTCTGACATCACCACCAGCAGTCAGACACCCCAGGTAATGTGGTTCAAAAGGAAAGTGATTTAAATATAGAAGCGCACAGAGAAAGCTGTTTATGCCAGGAACGGGTACTGCTGCTAAACCACATCCCATCTCCAGGGTCATTTCCTTCCTCAGCCTCAGGAGAGGCAGCAGCCCCGACTTTTGGGGGAAGGAGGGGAATGGTACGAGACCACAGGCTTAAGGAGCAAGAAGATGATTTAGGTCCGATTAAAGAAGGCCTTCGTATGGAGGATAGATCGTGCAAGGTCGCGACTAACAGAGGCTCAGCGCAAGGAAATTCATGCTGATTTAAAATATAAAATTTTTTCTCCTTCAGATCTCTCTCTGTCGATTTTGTTACTGGTAGTTAGTTCTTACTAGTTTCGGCAATTTAGGACAGCTGAAGGACTGCGAATGACTTTTCGACCTGTATAGCCCGCCTTTGTTTTGTGATTGTGATCTTCAGATGGGGCTAGTAGTTTAAACGGAGAGTTTGCTTCAACCCTGAAGGGCAGAGTTCAGTGACGAGTCATGTTCACTGCACTCCAGCCTGGGGTGATGGAGTAGGGACATGCAACGTTTAAAAAAAAAAAAAAAAAAAAAAAGCACAGTGTCTTGCACAGTCTTATCTCTTTCCTAATCCAGTTTAGTCTATCTTTGCCTCTTGAATTTTAGGAAGTGATGAATGGGTTTATTTTATATTAGCGTTTTCCTCAAAACTAAGTAGGTGTTGCTTTTATTGTGGAGGCCCTTCATTGATTTGCTTTCTCCTGTGGGTCAATGACCCTCAAAGTAGATAAAAAGACGTCCTCGTTCCTCGGTAGTTTTAGATGGTGTCTAGTTGTCAATTTACATTCTTGTTCAGCTTTCCACCTTGCCAATTTAGATGCTCCACAAGGCGGTTGTGATGGCTAGTGTTCTTTCTGGAGAACGTACCTGCCCGTGGAGTGCCCAAGGGTTTTTTTGCGGGGGAT